TCCCTTTTTTTTTTTTTTTTTTTTTTTTTGCCTTAATTGTATTTTTTTTTACCTATCTTTTATATTTTCATGAATTTTGCTACAAAAATTTTGAAATTATACATTTTGTTACTAAATTTTTAATATTACAAATTTTGTTATCTTATTAGTTGATTGTTTGACTTTGTTAATAAACGAGAAACTTGACATGTTGATTACTAATGTAATAGGTTAACTTTTGATATGACTGGATAATCGATGATGTATTATATTATATTGCATCAATTATTAACCTATCACATCAACAACCAATTATAATTAATAGAGTTAGATAATTAATTAATAAAGTGATAATATATGTGAAAATTTTAAAATTTGATAACAAAATGTACAACTTTAAAGTTGAATGAAAAAATATGTAAAAATGAAAAAGATGAATAACAAAAAAATTTATAATTATAATTTTCTGTTTTTCAAATACAATCATATTTAAGATACGATTGTTTTTATAAAAAATTCAAATTTTGGTTGGACACATTGTGAGATATTCCCACTAGACTCCGATCAACCTTTTTTCTTGCAGGCATGTAATAATGTGTGTTAATCTTGATTGCTTTTGCATCCTCTTTCACTTGTTTTCTTCGATCAAAATATTGCAAATATCTTTGGATGTGATTAAAAATCAGTTGAGTTGAATTCAATTATGATTGGGAAAAAAAATTACACCAACAAATTTTTACTTTTTTATATTAAAATGTATTTTTTAATGTAATTTTAAATTGATATATATCTAAACAGATGCTTAATGATTCGATCCATTATTGTATAACACTATGAGAGGAGAGAGAATATGATGCATTGTGTTGTAGAGAAATCTTGCCCCAGAAACAGGAAAGGATCTGAATCAATCCTTCAAATATTACTTTATTATTTGGATTATCTGTGTCGTGCATGATAATCTCGTGCCCCAGAGAAAAATGATTAAACTTGAATAGTATTTTTATGATTAATTCTGATGATAAAAAAGTAGGTGTTCAATTGTTTGTTGCAGTAAAGCTTATTGTAGATTTATTATAAAGTAATTAGTTATTACTTTTCTGTATTTATTTTTTAAAAAAAAATATGCTGATGAAAATATAAAAAAAATATATATATATCTTTTAAACTTTTTAATAAGACTATATTAATCTGAATAAATTTTTCAGCGAGTGGACATAAGAAGAAAAATAAATAAATTTAAAGGTTAAAATGACACAAAATTTTTACAAAAGTTAAATTTATTTGTGTTCCTCAAACTTATAAAAAATAGTTCATCCCAATTATTAATATGTCTATAAACAACTATAAACTTCACACAACTCGATATTTTCATAGATATAAATCCTCTAAAAAAATATAGAGATATAAAAGAATTATATTATTCATATATTGGATTAAAAAACTATTCATAAATTATCTAAACTTATCTAATTAAATTAATAATGATTCATCCAAATTTTTTTATTTTAATAAATATTAAAATAGCTTAAACTGACTTCAAACTCAATTATAGATAGGATTATTATGAGTGATAGCAAAATTTTTATTTTACTAAGTTATATATCTTGTACTTGAAGTCAGTGCTAGTTAAATAATGAAGTTATATGTCTAGTACTTGAAGTCAAAATTATTAGAACAACTCACAAATTTACAAAGGTAACGTAAAATTTTCCAATTCACAAATTTGCAAAAGTAACGTAAAATTTCTCAATTTTCAAATCATTGGATCTAATTAGTTTTAATTACACGTTTTATATTAAAACACGTCTGTATCGAAAAAAAAAATTGACTCTATGTATAAAACAGCATGCCCTTAATTAATTCTATTTCAAGTAAAGGATGGAATTTAGGTCCAAAATAAAATATGATTAAATCATTTTTAAAACATTTATTCAGAGGTCCACCCATTTTTCTTATACCAATAGCCCAAACATATTCCTTGATACCCTCGATCACAACCAATAAATTTGTTTGGTTTAAACATATTTTTAATCTTTTAAATTTAAGTTAAATTTATTTTTAATCTTTTAAATTTAAAATTGATTTTTTTAATTTTGTAATTTTAAAAAATTTTATTTTAACTCTTATACTCAAATTTTATTAGGAAATCTGTCAAATATTATCGTATAAAATCTAGTTATTGATGTTCTTATTAATAAAAATATCACATTAAATTTCGTTGATGCTACATTATTATTTTAATCTGTCACTTTTAAATATATTATTGATGACTTGAATGGACAAGATTTTTGAAAATAACATGAACTAAAAATAACAATTTTAAATTTGAAAGATAAAAAATAAATTTATCCTCAATTTGATAAATTAAAAACATATTTAAGCTAATTTATTTTTCTTTCTATGAAAACACATATTAATAGAAAGCAAAATACTCTATTACTACTTTTTATTCTACCATTAGAATTAAGAGGCAAATAAAAATTACAATAAAAATAGCATTCAAATTATTAATAATTTAACCCTTAAAAGAGATATAAATTTATAACCTCATAATTATTAAGAATGACCTTAAAAATGTCACTATATCCTAATTTTAAAAAACAAAATAAAATAAATTTAAATCCAACCAATAAAATTTTTAAACAACTTAATTTTATCTCTTTTGGATCTCTTAACACCAAGTTATCATTTTACAACCCATGAATATTAATTTTATTATAATTGCTATTTAATTAATATATATTTATCCATCTTTTATCTTTAGAAAAGATTGGTTTTGAATGTGAATGTGAATTTGGTAATACAATTAATTAAATTGATGCATCGTAATCACTAAGCATGTCTCTCTCACACGTGATTGTGTAAGAAAAAATGTTAAATTATGTTTTGTTGAAATGGAAATTGGAAAATAATAGTATAGAGTATATCGTAGGTGAGTTAGGTATCAATTGAGTGCGTACGCGCTAAACTGAGTTGCTTGTCGTTTGGTGTGTGGCAGCTCCATGTCTTTCGTTTCTATGTCTTCTTCTTCATCAAAACGTTCTTCACTCCCACAACCTTATCTCCTACTTATGTTAATGTTATGTCTTTCCCCTCATTTTTATCAAAATTTGTACGGCCATGATCAAAATTTTCAATGTTTAATTATCACTTTAATAGTATATATAAATAAAAAACAATTATCTAGAATAAAATTGAGAATCTTAAGATAATCTTTATAAATTTATTATTTTTTCTTTGTGTTGTGAATAGATATGAATTTTATTTTATTTTTATAAAAAGACTATGTTTATGTTTAGAGGTTCTTCTTTAACAAATTAGTCCCTTTTTATGAATAAATTAAATATTTAACTAATTTATTTAATTAATATAAAAGAGGTGTTTTTCAATTTATAATAATTCAATTTTATAATATTTATTTATGAATTACCATTTAAAAATTTATTTTAAAATTTACGATGTTTAAGAGATTGGTTGTCTATTAAATGTGCAAAGACCTTTTTAGTTGTTTAGGGTGCATTTAAAAAAGATGTGAAAATTAAATTATATTAATAAGGGCATCTCTAATTGAAGCAACTCATTTGAGTTGCTTCATGCATTGAAAAATGAAAAAAGTGATTTTGAGTGTGTCATGTCAATATTAAGCAACTCAAATACAAATTTATTCCAATGGTAAGAAACTTTTAGAATTTTTTTTTTAATTATTTATGAACTAATTTTAAATTTTTATTAAAAAGGATAATTGTACTACGAGAAAAAATATACAATAAATAAATATTAAAAATAAAATAAAGCAATAGTAAATACATAGACATTATACGAAATTAATTTTCATTATTATTATTTCCGAAACGTTCCCAAATATGTTCAATAAGATTTGGTAAGGAACGGTTGCTTGAAGAAACAACTCTCTCTCTTCATCAAGCAACTCATGTTGCCACGTCAGAGTCCTCCAATGGCAAGAAACCGAGGCTTGAGTTGCTTCATGGGACAAGCAACTCCCATTGGAGTTGCTCTAACATAATTGATAGTTGGCTATATGAATAATTGATTATTGCTATAATTAATATTAAAATGAAATTTTGTTTGAATAAGTGGGATGAAAAGTTATGTAAAGATGTTTAATTTCGTTTGTATATAAAAAATAATAATAAAAAATCAGCCTTTTATATAATAAATGAACTTAAATGAAAAAAGTTGTTAAGAAATAATTATATATATGATCCAAATTTTCAGTTTGATAAAAAAAATTAAACTATCATCTAAACATATTGTTGTATTGTTATATTGTTGTCTACACGAGCATTGTTATAGAATTCTTTTAACTCGTATCGATGACGTGATAAAAGTCTTTGCAATAAGTAGACCAATTTGTGTTATAGGATTGGAATTGAAATTGGAGAAGGGATACGGATCATATGAAAAAAAAATTAATAATGGACAATTTAATAAACTTGGACCACTGAACGAGTCATACTGTTATCTTTTGAGTCTTCTTTTGGACCAAAAACATCAGCATTTAAAGATGATATGAGATGAGAACATAGCATTGGCCATATTAGACTATTTTCAACAAAGGATAAATGTTTACCTACCCATTGATTTAGAGTTTGTTTGAATATAAATTTAAAAAATTGTATTTTTTTATTAAAAATATTTTTTATTTTAAATAAAGAAATTCTAAAAAAACACTTCCAATTTATATATAAACAGGCTTTTAAAATTTAGTACTTATGGATTTGATCTTAAACCTCAACCTTTAGTGAAATTTTAAATATTTTTTATTTAAAACAAAAAATAATTGAAATAGTATGGAAAATGATAAAATTTGGTTAAAAAAAATTATAGATCTCTTATCATTAC